TTTGCACAGGAAACTTATAAAATTTCATCTGATGATAATTGCATATATATCTCAGGCTAACTGTCTTAAACTTTTTAATCAAAGGTTCGATTTTAAAGCAATTTTCACCATGGATAAAGAGAATAAAACAAATGAATTACAGCAACATATTTGATATTTAAATCAGTAACAAAAATTGTACAAAAAAGTGAAAAATCATAATGAATTATTCAAGGTCAACAACTTAATTTAAAACCCACAATCACCATTTGTTCGACATAGACAAGCACTTGACATAAAATTATTTGGCTATAAACAAGTGTGTAACAGGCTGTCCTCAAAGAGAACAAATTTGAAAAAGCAACATTAGAACATCAGACAGCGTAATTACCATTTTCATAAAATAAAATCTCCATCAGAAATGTCAAAATATTGATTATTCTGTACTTAACATCATCATTACCAATATTTACAAGTTATAGATATTTTAAACCACTGTGGAATAAGATGAAGTTCTAAGAAAAAAGGCATAGCTGATTTAGCAGATTTTATTTCACAAGTAGTAGCTTATTCAATCAGATCCTACATACTGATAAATGTCTAATGTCTTTAAGAACTCTCACCAATACCAGTACTTCTTCTTGTTGGTGGATGGTGTCCGCTTCGGAGAGATTCCATATCGCAGACGTTGAGTAGGGAACGGGTTGCTCCCATGGTTTCTTCTGGTTCTTCTTCTGTAGTCTTGATACTGCGTTCTTCTTCTGTGTTTCTTCTTGGCGATCTATCGAGAACTAAGTCCCAATGATCGCCACACCTACAGAGGAGCGGGGCGCTCTTCAGATGTGCTACTTTATGTGATCATTCGTGACTCACTAAGAAAATTATAGACTGTCTCACAGATTGTTGACATACCCTCCCCCGTATGGGACAGAATATTCTTCAAGGTGTAATCCAGCCTATATCTTTCCATTATCTCGACCAGCGATTTTCTTAATTCCCTTAGTTGCTCACAATGGATTAACAGATGTTCTGCGGTGCCAGCTTCTACAATGTCATTACCTAAATACCAGTTGAGTACTATACTATTTTTGACACATCACATAGGGGTATAAGGAAGACATTACTTCTTCATCAAAGAAGATGTTCTTAAAAAATAAAATTGACATGCTTTCATTAAACAATAAAAGCTTGTCAATCTTTATATAAGTTCTCTACACAAAGATAATAATGTTAACAACAGTTCAGTATGTTTCAATACATATGACTGCCAATTATCTCCCTACTCACAAGAAAAAATAATACACTATCGATGTTTTCTAGCAACAAAAATTCTGCAATCTGAAAGCTAAATCTCTACCGTCTGGGAAGGTATATACTCATGGAGGCTATGATATTACCATGATGAAATAGAAAACATCCTCTTTACCATTGGAATTGAGAGATGCAACCCTTTTGGCCTTGCCTAAGAGAGACAACTCTCTTGGCCCCCTCATGGATTTTCTAGATACACCCCTGTGTATGCCTTTTTAGTGAGAGTTATATAAGAAACCAACACATAAAATAGTCTTCAACTTAAGGACAGATTTGAAAGGCTTTAGCTTAAATTCCCCTCGTAACACCCAATTAATGATGCCTACAATTATGTTTCTGGTCTACAGACTTAACAAGCATATACAGTAACTATCAAAAATATTTATCCTAATATACTCTCCAACCACAATGAGTACAGAAATTAATTTTTTTTTATTAATTCACAAATATTCAAAATAAAATTGTGCATTAATCTTATGATATCTTTGGATCTATAGAAATAAAGTTTGGCAAGTTCACATTAAATAAACACACATGCCTGACTGAAATTACCTTCTGTATAATCCAAGAAAGGCCTTTTTCCTTGGTTGTCATTTTTATCAACCTGATGGAGTTGATGTTTCGATTTATACAGAGATGATTGGAAAATTATATTCTGTAATCACTATTTAAATCAGTGTAGTGCCAGTACTGAGTAATAATAATGGCAATATAGTCGGGTACTGGTAGAAACAAGAGTCAGTAAATTTAAGAGTAAGCTAAATAAAACCACTCACATATGCTTCCTTAAATAGACGAATGCTATTAAGTACATCTATATTATTATTTGTATAATACTGTCAGTGTAATCAACTTGACTCTTCACCCCAATATAGCAGTTGTCAGTGGGTGAACGCTTCACACATTTTTTACCCTTACTATTATTACTAAACATGAATTACCTTTTAATTATGGCAATTAGTGCATATCATCAATCAATTATCACTCAACCAATAACTAACACTGCTTTCATGCAAAACATCAATTAATTATTTATAGGCAAACAACTTGTTCAATATAAACTCCAATATCACTAAGTAGACACCACTAAATAGCAGCCGCCATTGATTCACAGTTAACCGGAAGTTAGGAATTGTGGGATCGTCTACTTTCAATTTGTTTGACAGGTGCCCGTAAAATGAAAGTAGACATTGGATTAATCGATTGAGTGGCGTATTAATAAACTTATCATACTTTTGATTGGCTAATTTCAGTTCATTCATTGAGCGTTAATTATGATATGTAGTCTGATATACTGTTATATATTTGTTTACGTGTTTCGTGAAGTTTTGCCCGTTTTAAATCAATCAAACATTCAGCTTTTCCCACTTTCATTCACGTCAAAAAGTAATTTTAACGCGGTCAAGAGTTAATTGTCAAATATCACACTATTTGGAATGGTAGCGGATTTCCAAAATGTCAAAACTATAATAATATAGAAAAAGAAGGAATGCAGACTGGAAATGGCATTATATTATCAACATTAAATTATTCGGCCCGCGAAATACATCATCCAATAGGTCTTAGGCATTTCCAGGGGAACCATTTGTGCACCTAACAGGTTTGTTCCCGTAGTCGTCTGAAGCTGAATTCATGCAATAGCTTCTGAGAAACACTAAAGTTTGTAGTTTCCAAAAAGAATTTTTCATTTTGTACGATTTTTACATACCTCCCAGCTCCCACATTCCTGTGGGATTTGGTTCTTTGTTGTTTGTAAAAACATGTCATGCAGAAGGTGAGGGTACTTTACAATACAGACGAGTTTCATATGACATCACCTGTTCCTAAGTTTTAATTTCAATTTCGTCCCCACAGTTTTATAACATTTCAAGGTAAAGACTAGTTACAGGTAATCAGGCGTTAACATTGATCTCAGTGGTTTTAAGGGAGAAGTGTTATATCCTTTTTGTACTGAGATATAATATTTATTTCCGTTTGATTAGTTCGTCTAATTAGTCCTCACATTCTGAATCACGTTCACTTTTTTTTTATGACACTTTACCCGTTGCATGAAAAGTGTTTATCGAACACGACAGCGCTTCAATATCCCAACTATTTGAGTTAAAACTAGTCGCGATCTACAACACCCTTAGGGTAAACTGTATTGTTCTCAAGAGCAATATCATCCATCTTATAAAAGCTTCCAGAAAGACTTCTACTTCAACTTGTCAACATCATATTACATCCCCTTAAAGTTCTATTTAAAACCATGTTTTGTCTCTGTGGAGCGGTCATGACTTCTGAGAAAATATGCTGCTTTCGACCCACAGATGTCTTCATAGAAAATGACAGGAGACCGTGGTAACTGTTTACCTGATTGGGCATGATAAATATCTTATACATTATAGAGGCTCGTAGTTTTCAGTAGCTCAACTAGATGAGCGAGGGATCGTGAACATAAGTGGGTTGGGGCCCCTTCCCCGGGAACGTCTTTTTATTCTTTTTTCTGGGGATTGGAGCCCGTGGACTTGGTTCGATCAAAAACTGGTTTTGTTCTTATGGAAAAACTACATGTAGAACAGTCACGTTCATCAGTCAAACTGAAGTGGTCGCAGGAAGTGTGTAACGAATTTTGCACTGATGTTGTAACACAGTATAAAGAGATTTCTTCCTTGCAAATTTTGAAAGCCCAATTTTCTGTTACATTTGCTGAAACAAAGAAAATCCTATTTCAATAGCAGAAGAGGTTCAAAAGACTCAAGGGATGCAACTACATTTTCGCTTAAAAATTTGATAGTTGTCTGACTGTCCATGAAGGGAACAGAAGGGTACATTCACTTTATAATACTATCTATTAAAATATTTATAAAACTTTAACAATAAAGATGTTCTTTACATGAAATATAAAATATAATGTTTACAATAATATGATGTTTTTGAGGAAATGCATAATTTTGAGCAAAATGGACTTTACCCCAGGATTTTGATAGTAACTCCACTTTACCATCCACTAAAATGTTGGCAGTAAGGACTGATGAACTGGATGATATGTTGACCCCGCACTAAATGCTACCAAACACTATACTCAACGTAAACCAACAAGAGACAAATGCATCCTAAGAGTAATTTAACATGTTCAGCTAGGAAAGCATGGTCCTGTATCAAAATTGTGAACTTGAAAATTGAACTAAACTATATCTTAAGAGAAAATGGATGATTATGAATTGAGATCTTGTTTCCGAGTATTGTGTACAACACAAATGACCGATTTTTTGTATAATATCTCATCATACAGAATATATTTAAAGTTAAACTTAGAACTATGTGAACAATTACTTAAGACCCTTTTGTGGTAAGATATATTCTTACATCTACTGATTAAAAAGGCAGCCAGGTTTAAATGACTTTAAATGTAGCCTCGCCATCCACACCAGACAGTTGAGTGGAAGTAAAGGTGACGTCTATCTCCTTCATACCCCGTCTTAATGGCCAGATAGTCGCTTCTCCAACGACAGTTTCTCCTGATTTAATAGCTTTCCTGAAAAAATCAAAATCCATTATTGTAAATTGACTAGTCAATGAAAGAAAAATAATACACCCTTGCACCTTACACCATCAAGGGTTTGTTAGACAACAGAGTTTTTCATTTTCTAATCTTAAAAGAGGCTCTTCTCACTTTAAGAAAATTGCCAAAAAGGCGCCATGGAAGAATTAAATCCAAAATAATGTTGTTATATAAATATTACTGACCTTTTCTTATCCCGTGTTGTAACATAGCACCCAGCACATTCAAACGTAAATACAGAATTTGTTAGATTGATATGTAAAGGATTCTTAAATGAAACAGTTACTTCCGATTTTTCTCTCATTTTCATTTGACTTGGGACCTAAAACATAAACATTTATCCATACAATGGTTGAATGTCTCGTTGCCAAGCTGTTCAAAAAGGGAATAAGAAACTAGGAATGTTCCCTCGGATCATTACAAGATTGTTTTAACAATAAGAGTATCAATAACGGGTTTAGCGCTTTGGTGATTGAAATGCGAAATTTCCAGAACGGACTGGTTAACAATCTGCCAAAATCATTAAATACGCTATTGAAACTCTAATATGGGAAAGTTTTGCTTTTCAATTCTTTCAATTTCGGATATATATCAAGCTTTATAATAAACACACATATCTATAAATTTGCTCTTACCTGAATTTTCAGATTCGGCATTGTCAAATTAAAAGATGCCTTCTTAACCAAATGTTGCTTTGTTTCCTGGGCTTGCAATGCACAATAAACTATCATACTAGCAATTGGGTTCAATTTAGATCCATAATCCGACGAGCTGATTTCAAATTTAACAATGCACTCTGGGATAAAAATAAAGTGTGAATATAATAGATCGATGTTAGACATTGGATACAGAACCATCAACTTCAATATAATAATTACTGAAATTGCTGTTCTCTTGTTTTTTGAGACTATACCTTCATACACATCAAAACTTCAATAAACCTATATTCACCAAGGGAACACTTTGATGAAAAAAAACCCAGAAGTTCATGTGTGCCGTTCAAATCTCTTTGGAAATATACTTCAGATACCTAATATACCAAAGAAATAAACAACAGCATTGTGGACCCTCCTAGGGATTGCGAACTGAAAACAAAGTTGATGAGTAGAAGAATCATGTTCTTTGCACGTCCTTCTTCACGATACAATACTTATTTTGGTACATCTTATGGTTAATAATCTGGAGAATGACCATCACAAATATACCATATTATATAAGCAGACAAAACCCATCTTAACATACCATACGACTCATAATAGCAACACTTGTCTGAATTCTAGATCAGATTTGAAACTATAACATCACTCACCAGATTTAGGTTTAATAACATGATAAGCCTTTTCACTTTTAATCTTCTTGGCTGGTATTCCAGTATAAAAACAACTACAGACAGAAATACGACCATCTATAGTTCTAGAGACATTCGATGTATTCTTCATCTTCACAGATATCTCAAGAGTATTTCCCAAGAGAGTTTCAGGAATCTTTAGATCCATTTTAATGTCTTTGTTGAATTTCCTAATATAAATATCCAGATCTTTTCTACTTCCAAATTTATGGACAAAAGAGACAACACGTCGTTCTTCTGCACTACCTTCAATCAAAAATAATGAATACTAAAACAATTGCTAGAAAAGTAAATCCCCTTGGTCGCCCCCTATCCACTTTATGTTTGGACACTAACACAGCACGATCCTATAAATCTACAATAGGCTGGTTTCAGTGGCGCTTCTACTGAGGTGAGGAGGTGGAGGTCAACATTTTCATCAATTTATATTGTGAAAGAATAGTCTAGTTTGTTAAAATCAGTCTTTCCGATAAATACTACATGTACTCCTCTGTATTTTAGGTTAAAATCATTACGTGAAAGTAAGATTGACGAGTCTTATGTCAGCGCTGTGTTGTGGGTTCTTTTTAGAATTTATTGTGATCAACATCAATTAGTATTTACCGACCTTCATTATGTTTATACAAGTGTGTTATATCGTGTCTATCAGGTTTACCAATAGCCTTGGTGCTGATACATTTTCCTATAGAATGAGAATCAACATTACATACTTCCATACTCTTATCCTCCTTTACCTGCAAAATACAATTGAAATGGTCTTTTACTACAGTGTGCAACGGGGAGGGGGAGGGGAGGAATTATTGTAATTAACCAAAAACATTACACATTAATATAAGATTGTATCTCACCGAGGCAAAGTAACATATTGAACATACATTCGGAACGCTGTTGTCAGGAGCTGTTGAAGGAGGTGACATCATGGAACATCGGATAAATTTCTTAATTGCCTTGAGCGCAAGATTACCACTAGTTGCTCTTCTTTCTCACATTACCACTATCAGGTAGTTGTCCTCAGTAGTCTGAATCAGCGACCATTGAGTTTAATTTGTCGATTAAAGGTAACATCGACTACAGCATATCGAAAATGACAATCGACTAGAGAACGCATAAAAAGTTAGACAAACCTTCCAATATATTCTGTCACCGTTAACTTCACTAAATATAAATGGCACATCATAGTTTAGGTATACATGACCTTCTCTTATAGCTTTCAACGGAGCCGGACCACATCTCATTACACCTTTAATTAGACATTTTAAAATCTAGGTACCAGAGTTATTTTCGAACGATACGAGTGCTGTAAATAGTAGTTTATATATTATGTCGTCTATGAAACATAAATTAACACTTATACAACTTATGAACAAATATTTATCAGTCATGATGTTCTCGGTACTTACTATCACTGACTTCTTGAGGTGTAGCATCATGAGCTTGCCATCCATCATAACCATCAGGTAAATCGCGTCTACGGAACCAGGATTCATTCCACACGTGGAAATTCCTACAGGATAAAGTAGTCAAAAAACCTGATATTCACTTATATAAAATCTCGATTGTTGGATTGTCAATCACATTGTAGAAATATAATACCTTCATATTGTATATGATAATGATATCAAATCCTTAAACTTTCAATCTTTCAAAGGAAGAAACTCACCACACAGAATCATCAAGATCATCTAAAGGTTTACCATCTTCATCAACATGAGAGTCTATTGTGGTACTACAGTCAGTGTCGTGGGCAGAATCAAAGTTGGTAACAGATCTGGTAGGAATCCCTAGGGCTCTCAGTACTGTAAAAAACAATTCCTATCTTCAATACAGTTGATGTTCAATTTAAGTTTCTCTAGCCCGGATCAGGCCAATTTAGACTGTACTTTAGTCATTAAAAAACTCTGAATGACAGCTGATGATAGAATTCCTGTACTATTAACAGATTACTATTAATTTCTAGCTAATTCCTTTTATTTCTACAGTACACCAATTTCAATTCTATACTTACATGTAGTAACAACTCCAGAGAAGACCCAACACTGTCCATATTTCACTGGTTTTCCAGTCTTCATAAACTCTTCCAGAATACTGACACTACCACTCCACGCCCATGGTTTGGTACAGTTAGAAGGGTATTCAGACGACCACCGTCCTTCCAGTACCCCATAATCATCACAGCTATTAGCCTGTACAATATATATTTATTAGATCATTAATAGAAAGTACAATGAGAGAATACGGTTTTTTGATTGATTAATCCATTATAAATAAAGAAGGTTATTTTATTTATAAGCATTTGTTACACAAATCCTTTCATGTTAAAAGTCAGAAACTTGTTATCAAGTAAGAATATAAGAGAATTAAATGTTCTTGATAGCTTTTTATATTTCTCAAATAAAATCAACATCAACTTCCACAGTTATACGATTTCTATACAGAATTTCTATAAATACTATGTAATTTTTTACACTCAATAAAGTTTATAAATAATACAATACAATGTAATTTTAAGTCAGTCAATGTCATGGTTCACATATAAGAATAAGAGACTGCAGCATCCCGACTGTTGAACAAAGAAAATAAAATTTGATATAATTATATTGGTATACCTGTGCTGATATAGTTCTAACAATGCTAATAACACTTCTCCTAGCACCTTCTTTTAATTCAGCCCTATCCAATAAAAACAGAGCCGCTTCCAAACAAGGTTTATCAAACTGCAACATCAAATAAGTAATGGTTAACATAGATAGTAGAACAATTTAATCCGAAAAATCAATTTTTATTTCAATCCAATTCAAACCATAAGGCTTAGCCAAATCGATTTTGATACAGTACCACGAGCGTATTTAAATTTAGAGATAAATGAAACGTTTTACGTTGACAAGACAATATGATATGCTAAGTTGAACGACATTAGATATCACGAGTGGCAATAGCGATAAAGGACATGCTCACTTTTCCGAACCACCTGATACCACTGTGCATTTATTTCAATAAGGCACTCCTTCTGAAAGTAATAGATTAAGCACAACACATACTTGTCCAAAATTCCATGGTCTTCCTCTGTGTGAATTGCTTGAACCAACCCATATTCGTCCCATTTCATTTGAAACATATTCATCTCTTTCAGTACTATTCGGCATGTATACTTCGTCATCTAAAACACAAAATCGAAATGCCAAATCTAGATAAAGCGAACAAAATATATTAGACATTGATTCAAATTCAGATTATAAATGAAGGTATTGTAAGGAACCATAAATGAGAAAAACTGTCCCATTTAAGATTAAAAGCAACTATTGACACAACAAAAATGCTAAAAACAAAAGAATTAAATATCAAAGCAATGAATAATATACTTAATCGAGGGAACATCTCACATATTGATAAACGAAAAATTGCCAATAAGCTCAGATAGATAAGAGGACATACCTGGCCACCAGGGATTAAAAATGATATGGATATCTTCATCTTCAATATGAAATCTAGATACTTCATCAAGATCTTCTATCCTGGTTTCAATATACATTTGATATGTACCAATAATAACATCTATTGGTTGTAACTCAAAACTTACTGCTTTATCTGACCATTTAACATTGTCCATACACCATGTATACAGCTCTGTCTCTACCTTCAACTTACCAGATTTAGGGATCTTAAAATTGACGATACTACCCTTACTTTCCATTGGTCTCCGACCTAAATGTCAATAGATTCAAAGCGTTGATTGCCAAGAGGTCTATCCAAAAGAATCCTACACTGGATGATTGAACTTCCAGCGTGACCATAATCAACGTGTTGAAGGAAGCCATTATACTTTCATTATTCATTCAGTAAAGTCTTTAAATGGCATTTAGCAATTGTGAGTACGTTATATAGACACAGCTTTATGGAACAACAATCAAAAATTTGTGCCTTAAGACGACGGGGGAAACACGTCGAAACGTTGCAGAAAACTTATCCCAGTGATTGTTGTTCCATAAAGCCTTCTATATATTCATTCAGTACTCTTTGTTTATATAAAAAAAAGAAGTGATGGTTCGTCTTATCGTAAATTGCATGCATTTTCTTTCTAGTTATGCTGGTCTGTTATATGTTATTACTTAAATGCCAACCTGTTTGTATCTGGACAACCACTGTATCAACATGGTTAATTTTTCTGTTAAACTTGACATCAATCTGGAAACCGAAACCTCTTCTAACTACCAAGTCCTCATTATCATAACAGTCTGTTTGATGTTTTATCTTGTTCTTCTCTTTATTAAAGTCTATCTCAGTAACGTCTAAACATTCATCTATAAAAAATAGAAAAATAGATGCATTAAAATATGTATTGTGGTTGTGAGTAAAGAAGTTGTATTTTAGTATTACAATCTAATTAGCGCCACAATGCAAATATTTTTGCCTCGACACAAAGCTATTCGAAGTCCAAGATATAACACACATCAGAATTATTATTCAGTTTTTGGGTCAACTTGAAATCGGAAATTTAGATTGATGCAACAAAAACTGTTACCTATTACTACAGGTTTTGGAACAAATCTTCTATGGAAATCAGCATCTGAAGTTCTGTTAGTGCGACCTTCTAAATTGTTTCCAGCACCAAGTAACGTATTTAAATATCGCCTACGTCTACAAAGAACAAATATGGATGTACAAGCGTGTATGTGGTATGATCAAAATGAACAGAACAATCCAAATCATGTCCCTCAAATGTAAGATTTGTACCTCAGAATAGTTCCTGGGTAAGACTTGTATCTCAGGATAAAGTTCCTTGTATCTCAGGATAAAGTTCCTTGTATCTCAGAATATAGTTCCCGAATAAAGTTTCTAGGTTAGACTTGTACCTCAGAATAAAGTTCCTGAGTAAGACTTGTGCCTCAGAATAGAACCTGGGTAAGACTTGTATCTCAGGATAAAGTTCCTTGTATCTCAGAATATAGTTCCCGAATAAAGTTCCTAGGTTAGACTTGTACCTCAGAATAAAGTTCCTGGGTAAGAATTGTATCTAAGAATAAAGTTCCAATGTAAGACTTGTACCCCAGAATAAAGTTTCTGGTTTAGACCTGTACCCCAGAATAAAGTTCCTGGGTACGACTTGTATCTGAGAATAAAGTTCCTGGTTAAGACTTGTACCTCATTATAAAGTTTCTGGGCATGACTTGTATGTCACAAAGGTTATTGTAACCTACAACATCATAGAGCCTTGCAGTCGTGGGTGTGTTTATATTTACAGTTGATTCAATAATGTAAATATCAACTTTTCAACTTATTACAATGACCGATTGACAACAGCTGACCTTCAACATTATTATTATTAACATATTGTAACGATTATAGTTATTAATTCATTCAAACCACTATACTAGTGTATACTTTTGTATATTAATTCACAACCATTATCATAACCATTTTACAAATCTACAGTATAATATTATATTCTTTTAGACATTTGAACAGTTAAAAATAGCGAAATTGCCATGCGCAAGACATTGACTGGAGAATTTCAAAGGTTTATAATAATTTGACCCTTGAACTGGCATATTTAAGTTTTACATCAATTGAAAACTCAAGCTGAAATTTTGAAGACCGGAAAATGGGTAAATCGTTATCATTGATATGTAACCGAAGTATCTTATTACTATATAGATAAACGCTTATTTGAAACCCGAGACTATAATTAGACTTGAAATTCTACTTCGCACACATAAAAGCAATTAAAAATTCAATGGTAGTCGGGGAAAATTGCTCTACATTACTTTGCAAAATTACTGTTAATATTTTATTTGGACCTACCTACGTGCAATTCACAGCCCTAATAATTTTCACTTCTAAAATGGCTGACAAAATCGACATCATTCATGCATTACGACATGCAAATGCTTATAGTGCATAATGGGAAAGATTTTAGCAAGCATATCATACACAAGTCATCTTGTTGAGGGAGGTTTTTGCATATTTTTTCATATTAGAAATTATCTTCAATAAAGGAATGCTTTTTTAAAACTATGCGTATAAATATTGTCGTATCTTGACAATTGTCAAGAAGTATATTATATCAAATGGTCAGATCACTAAATGTAACTGGCTCATTGTTTTATTCTAGCCGAAATAAACCATGGACAGAGTAACAAATGAGGTCTTTGGCATTCTCAAGACAAGTCAAAATCTCGAAAGATATGAAAAGGTATTACTTACGATCTTGTGGTCATTGAATGTCTGCTACGTGCACTATATCGTACCATCCTTGCTTGATTTTAACCTAACTCTCCGCACAAATATTGCACACAACGTTGAATATAGTGTGCAAGTCAAGGCAAATCCTTGTAAATGATTACCGGCTTCCCTTCTGGGTTGAATCGTTTAAGGTTCACTGACTCTTCAAGTATTATTCGATATGACCCTGATTTCTGTTATACTCATTACACGTGTCTCTATACACAAAATATACAAAATATACTATATCACACAAATACTTGACAATGGTACCATATTTAATGGTTTGACAATCAAATCTTTATCCAGAAGTGCAAGAAAACTGTATGGTTCGTTTGTCACCTTTAGATATTCGCTACGTGAAAAGAATAATACCACCATAAAAAAGTTTATTTTTACTTTCTATTTAACTTCTTTGCCTTAAGTTTCGAACGGAAACGATAGTGGAAAACCCAATTTCCTTGTATAAAAATTTAAATGTATGGAATGATATTGCATGTACAGACGTTATTATTAACCATATAATATTAACATGCTATAAATCATCTAAACATAGTATGAATATGACTAGCGATAAAGTTAATCCTTGTCGTGCACCTGTATCAAATGAGAATTACACAGGCGAAATAACATATGAGATCATCACGATAGAGAAAAACAACGATATATGCACACCGTAGAAATGTTTTGTGTATAGCTATCTGGAGATTTCATAAGTTTTGTCGCCTCTTATTGTGTAAGGAACCGAAATGATCGGGGTATTAAGTAAAGTACAATACCCACGAACAGTTCAATTACTCATAACAATTACTGGTGGATCAAAATGTTAAATCCATGTATAACATTACTTAATTCTAAACAAGACTTCATTCATAGCATCTTAATTAATTTAACTTCCTTTTCAGTTGCAGTCAATGACAAAAACAGTTACCTCTTAATCAACCGTACAGCTACGTTTTCAGCAACGTAAGCTTATTTAAAAAAAATCAACAAGCTTTTATGATGAACAACATCAAGACCTAACCCAGAACATTAACAATAAGCTTACCTTTCCCAGCAACATCAGAGCATCATCTATAGCACTTTCGACAACAATACCAATACGATTTCACCCAGACATTATTCTGTACATCATTACCAAACAGCAGTCTCTTTCAACAAAATATGGTTCTGGCTTCTTCAGCAACGACAACAATGCACGAAAACGGGAAACAAAAATGTTTTGTTAGTTTGTTTTATATTGTAATTTTGCAAAAAAAACATGAACAAAAAGAACACTCTTACGTGAAAAGAAACATATATACTACATATTGATCAAAATAGTTGACAATGTCTGATGTCCATTTGGAAATACAAGTATGATTTACAATATTGCATGTCCATTGATTCGAATTAGATTAGATTCTTTTCTCTTTTTTCTAAATACACGCTTACTCTTAGTAATCTGTCCTCCCTCTGTTTTCTGACCTGGTCTTAGTTTAAAATTGTCACAGATAATGTGGTATCGTTCATAAGAAATATATTTTAATGAGCTATGTTATTGAAGGCATGAATAGCTATATTGTTTAAAAATATTTTACAATTGAAATTAAGATACCTTAATCGTGACTTATTGACAGAGTAAAATAACGGGTGTTTATTTTCTATGGGAGTTGAGTTGTCCTGATGTCTGTTTTCAAACATGTTCAGATATATGTTGAATGTGGGGTATAATTTCCAACTGGGAAAAACTAGTGTTGTTTGCAAAAAATACAAGATTTTGTTGGTCGTTAAATAAATATTGGAAACACGGATTAACGTTTGGGGTTCCGGAGGCCACTCCTACAACTCTTTATTCAATTAAAATAGCACTCTTTAAGTTTGATTCGACTATTGGTGTACATGAAAGTACTCAGTTGACGAGTCTACAATCAGAAGCCACCCTTTCATCTCCTTATCCAATCAAGATAGCACTCTTTCAGCTTGATGCGATTATTCGTGTACCTGAAAGTAGTTTGTAGAACTTTCTGCACTTATATGTCGATCAAACCTATCATGGCGACCAAAGACATAAATAAATAGGTTTGGCTTTTATGATAGAAAAGTTATTTTTGAATAGCAAAATACATGTAATCAAAGAGTTATCTCCCGTGAATCATTGAAATTGTGGTTGGAACATTGCACATGACTTACTCAGATCTACGTTTCACATTATCTGCACTTTGTTTTTTGCTTGTAAATATTAGATTGATCTTATTGACCGGTTCAAAACCACATGTAAGGAGTAAATTAATCATACTAAAAAATTAATTTCATGTATAGTACATTAGCAATTATTAAAAACCAAACACAATGCATATAAATCAGTATAAATAGGGAATTCAGCATCACTTTAAATTTAATAAATGAGATGTCATAGATTTCGAGATATAAATGGATTCTGGATGTAACAGTTAAGATCTAATGTATATGAGTCCATACCTTGCGTTCTTTGTCCCCAGACGACACCCTATTTGCTTGGTATAAAATTTAAACAACACAAAGTCTCCGTGACTCGGAATCGAGTGTTTATCATTTTTTAAAGACAATATGCAAGAAGCTAAAATGTCTATCACGGTTTGAGATTTTAATACGAATGGTGTACAAGCATTTTCACCTAATAGTGGTTCTACATGAAGGTAGACAACCTCTGTATACATGCTGATAATCATACCACTATTGTGCTCACAATCCCACGTTCCCGTTCTGAGGAGGAGAAGTATGGTTTTTAGCATCTCGACTGCTTATCCTTTAAAATCTATAATACATTATTTGTCTGTTTGGCTTGAGGTGTCGTTTCATTCAGGTGCCCTCATTAGTGGCGGTCAAGTGCTTCTGTAACGAAATGGCTAATTTGTTTAGGTTGAGGAGTTTCTCAGTTCTATTTATTTTGGAGAGATGCATCACCTATGTCGAATCTTTTCGCCCTGGTCTAATCGTCAGTGAGAATACAGATTCAATAAGTCGCTTCATGGGATCGGCAGAAGCAAACAATTAATGTATCTGATCGGTCGGTGTAGGGCACAGGTTAATATAAACGAACCGACCCTTAACCGATAGTAACACGAACTGGTCAACGTGACGTAATAGCTTCCTTCTCAAAGAGCATGGCTGACATTCTGGTCAAGTCTTTATCGTTCTAACTCATTTCTGTTATTTGTGGAGATTAGTGGTTGACAATTTGGTATGTTTTTATGTTATCTTATTTAATGTATATCGTAGAACATTTCTAGCGGTCCTAAATTCCCTGTCTTTTTGTATTTGTCCTGTAATTTATATGTAAAGTTTGGGTCTGAAATCTTTCCATCGTCAATGAGTCGTCACGGATGATTAGCGCGCACTGTCGATTGCCTTATATGGAAAGTGAAAGTACAATTTCTCGAATATCTTTGTTTACATTCTGTAGTATTTAAAAGAGTCTCTCTCTTGCCCAAATTATATGAATAGTTACTTGTTATTGTAATTTTGTATCTTTTCAGTTAATCGTCAAATATCCTATCATATCTTGTTAGATTCAGCATTATCCACATATTTATGGTTTTATGATATTTTGTTTTTAATAAACTCTGTGTGAACGCTGTTCTAATGTGTTTGGTTTTTGTGGTCCTGATAGTCTTACGCATTAACAACGCCACAGTCGGTATCTAGTGTGGTGTCAAATCTTGATTCATAATCTCAGACAGAAGATACCAATTTCTGTAGCATGTAGGCGATCTGGACACTTTAATAATGTCATAAAATATCCAGAGAGATTAGTAGAAAATAATAAGATCAATCCAAGGTTATACTGATATACATAAAGATCAGGTTTATAGCCAGTAGAAAATAATGTCTGATATACATAGTAAGTGACGGGATTACGTTAATGGTTCTTTTACAATGCTGTTTCCTGATTTATTCAACAAATATTACAATTCTACCATCTAAATTCATTCTATATCCAGACAATAACATATGTTTATGTATAGCCATTTTAGATAAGTGGACATCATAAGCAAATATTCTAGATGACACGCGGCTTATTAATTCTGTTCTATAAGTCACCCATCCAATACGACGGTGCCAAATATCTTTGAGGTCTGGGGGGTCACAGCCAGTACGATTCGCTGACGATTTAATGAGTGGAAGCTACGTTTCCAGACGAAGTCGTTAAAATATAGGAATTTTCGAGAATAAATTTTTACCCTGTATCTTTTTAACGGTCATTAAGATAGACATTTGAGACTTCAGATCTATCCATTTATCATAACACTATCCATCCTCCATTATTGAGGATATAATAGAAAATATCTTGTCATTGTCTGAAAACTAAATCTTTTGATTATTATTGAAGATTTAGAACTGTCTGGGATCATCCTTCACGGACAGAATTAAAATAAGGATATATAATGTCCGCCAATAATTGCTAGTTTACACTCTCAGAGGCACAATTCTTGATGGAATTTGACTTAACTTCACCGAAGGATGAAAACTCTTTCGAAAATTCAAAATATAGAGTTGTTGCCCTTGTTTTTTTTTAAACACGTTTAAGTTTTAGCGTTTAAACACTCTAGAAAGCACAGGTCTTGACAGATCTAGACAAAACTTTGTGAAATTGTTATCACCCATTGATGACCCTTGTCCAAAATTGAAAAAAATAAAAAAATATTTCATATGAATTATTGCCCATATTTTTGTTGTTTTAATATTTCATATCGAAATACCCTTATACCAATTTCTAGACTTCATAAGACACAATACTCTTGTCGGTTCAACTACCTATAAAAGGTTAAAAGCTCCTTGAGGTATTCTTGATGATGAAGGCTGCAGGGCACCATGATAATAACGAAATGTCATTCCCATATCATATAGTTCTTTTTTGAATCTCTAATTAGCATATATTGTATTGAAGGAGATCTCAAACATAGCAACATTTTACAAAATAACATAACAAAATGTTGAAATACGTAACTACAAATCATAATTCTGAAACAAGCAGATCAGTAGTTCGTGATATAGACTATTGAGCGAAGTCAGAACTGAGTGTCAGTGTTAGTATTAGTAGTAGTTTTCGGGGAAGGGAGGGTTTGATTCTCCCAAATGTACAGGCCTAGGGTGGAGCAGACACTTTATTTAGAAATTAGGATTAAGGGTTTTGATATTGGGTTTTCTTCTGTTCTTATTCTGATCTGAAATTTGAAATAATAAGCTCTGACCTTGTAAACCTCTCGGGGTTAGTGTTAAGGGATATGAAAACTGATGCTAAGCCAGTGTTCTGATTATGTGTAACATAAGAGTAGCACTAAATTAAAACTAGTGTTAAATTGTTCCCCAAATAGCTCAAAGTTTAGTGTTATCTCGGTGTCATCCAACACTTTGCATCGAGATCAAATCTAGGGGTTAGTGTTACACTAGTATACACTTCTTCACTAACACCGAGTTCTGGCCTCACTCATTGTAGCCTTTCGTATAACTGAATCAAGTTACTTGTCACGGAATTAATTGCGTGTATACATTTAAATTAACAGCGTGATATTAATTGATGGCATGTTTCTATGAAATATGTTTAAAAAACAACCGTACTTGTACTGTACTTAGAAATATAATTGATGCATAACCCATCAAAGATTTGAAAATTACAAATTGCACATCCGACAGACGCATGTCCACAAAGTATAATAAGCTGCCTTTTTATTCCTAGTCTTGAAGTATGTGCGACAGAGATAAGGCAGGTGCACCTAATAACGTGGACGTGGATAAATAAATAGATTTATGTTCTATCTATTTAATGGCCATGATTCGCCATTTTCGGAATTGAGTTGGCTCTTGGATATATATAAACATATCTGCAGAACTTCTAGAAATGCACGAAAAAATCTCATAATCCATTCAAATATATGCCTACTTTAAAAAAAGAATTTTCATTTTCTTTTCCAATATGTCTTTTTTTATTCATGGCTTAGTATCAAGAAAAGACGAATCGTCATTTTAGTTTCCAATCAGGATAATTCTTTACACACATGGATTTGAAGGTTCAAATTTCGACGGTGGGCTGTGAACACTATTTACTGATCAGCTTAAATAAAAATTTCGGTTTCTTGATCGGTCCCTTCAAAGGTTATCAAACAACAGTAAAATGTTATTGTTCCAGGCAGTGCACATACAGTAAAAATAAAATTATCCAATACACAACATAATATGTCCCTTTTCATTTATCAAAGTTAAATATCACTGGCAAACATTGGAGAACAGAAAGTAGATGATCAGTATTTTGTGGGTACATGAGAACCATGGTGATCATGAGGATCTTTACACAAAATTATGTTGGAGAAGACAATAATAGAACAGTATTATTTCCCTGTCGTTAATTTACAATATACTGTACCACTGAATACTTGACCATATTTGAATGTATATAATTCAGGGCTCCATTGCTGATAAGGAAGGAAGGAGTAAAGACACACAGTAATTTTGAAAGAATGATCCAATGTTAATGGTATAATAACACGTATGTTTAAACTCGGTAATTCATTTGCTATTTGTTTCCATGTTAAATCACGAAATTCAACCTTCTATTAATTTTTCCAGAAATCTGGTTGAAAATTTTCCAATATGACACATGAAAGCCTGGCCAATACTTAGTTCATGACCATGAAAATCTTGAGCAAGCAAAACTGAAAGTAGACCACTGCATTTTATCGACATTTTGATCGTCACTGCGCACAAAACGATTATTTTTAGAATTATCCTTCCGCATGAAAATTACTCATCATCTCACACAATCTAAAAGAAAATACAATTTTCAGACATCAAATTCCAAATCTAGATCAAAAATAGGCATGCAAAAACCCAAAAGAGGAAAGAGTATTTCTAAAAATAACGCGGACTACATTCATACAATCATTTACTTAAACAGTTTTAGTGGTCTGAGTCCAGTTATGTCGATGATAAAGGGTATTCTATGGTTATCTTTTAGGTCTCTTAACTCACACATACATTGATATTTCTAAAAAGACTTATAATTAGTATAATGGGTACAGAGATACAGTTTGTGAAATACCAGGGAGCAGGCAATGATTTTGTGTTAGTAGATATGCGGGAAATAGAAACAGAATTAAACGACGGTATCAGGAAAGCAATGTGTGACAGACGTTTTGGAATTGGTGCTGATGGGGTACTGGTGATCTTGAATAGTGCAATAGCCCATTTTAAACTAGTATACTACAATTCCGATGGATGTTTAAGTAGCTTATGTGGTAATGGGTCCAGGTGTTGTTTGGCGTATTATTTAAGCATGTCCCAATGTAAGGATTCAAGTATTCGATTTGAATGTAATGGTAGTATATATGAAGGAGGTCATGTTAAGGAAAATATTTATCAACTAAACATGAAAGACATTGAAACCGCTGATATCGTAACCGTAGATAAAGATAATTTCTACATCAATACGGGTTCACCACATCATGTACGCTATGTAAATGGTTTGCACCATAAAGACATTCGGGCGCTGGGATTAAAGGTACGTACTGAAAGCTACGGGAAGGAAGGTTGCAACATTAATTTCTGTGAGGAATTGTCAGATGGTAAATTGAAGGTCCGAACTTATGAACGAGGTGTTGAAGACGAGACACTTGCTTGTGGAACTGGAGCAACAGCTGTCGCCTTGGTAACTCATCAGAGATTGAAGATCATGAAAGAAGACTCAATCAACTCTTGTTTTTCGTATGTAATTCTGATGCCTGGGGGAACGTTGACAGTAAAATTTGTTGCTACAGCCAAACTGTTTTCTAATATATATCTAATAGGTCCAGCTTTAAGGGTATTTACCGGTGTCTATAATATTTAGAAAACCCAAATCACATTTCTGCGATACACTGTAACAATTCGAAGAGTCAAAGAATTGAATCAGTCTGTAATGATTCACAATGAACTTCTCAAAATGTTCCAAACGTGTTATTTGTAAGAAAAGCAGAATAACAGAGCTTCAAGGTTGAACCTCAAAGATGCTTACACTGTAGAGTTTGAGGTGGGCAAACGAATTACCTCATTCATTCATAATTAGGCTACACTCTGGAAATCACAATTGTTATGTATGTGAGAGCGAGAAGGAGCAACAGATTTGTTAAGGGTGGTTCACAACACCCAGATATTTAAGATCCGTTGAATTGATGGAGCTAACATGATCACATAGTTAATGAAAGTTGACTGTTGAATTTGGAGAATGGACGCGGAAAAAGACAGTATTTAGGCCTAACTTCCGTCATAGACGATATGTATATCCTTTTTACACATACTTTCAGAAATAAAGTTATAAACCGTTCATGTCTCAAGAGATCAACCATTACTTATACTCAGTAGAATTAGACATGAAGATGGAATCTCTGATGGACAAATTATAGAGTCTTATTGTCTAATGGAATGTTGACATTGTAGCATGGAACACGCAATTTTTGTGTTACGGGAAGTCATTTGATTAGGTTGAAACAGATTAGAATTCTAATAATAGAACAAACAAATACAACCCATAACATTTCATAGTTCCCAGTCATACAACTTTATTGACTTTTACTGTTCACCTTATTACTATACATGATTTATAATCCGGTAAGGGTGCACTTAGATCATTGATTGCTCAAGTTTTTAGATTGACACACAATCATTTCATCATTCCCATTCTATTTATTCTAGTATCAAATTCAATTACAACATCGCGATTTAGACTGGTATTAAATCAAATATCGATGTCACCACGATGTCAAGTGTCGATTGTTTCTAATAATGCTAGAGCCGCATTGGCTTAGTGGGTTTGACGCTTGCTGGCTCGAAAGTGCAGGGATATATCCGCGCATATGTCCTTCGGATATACCTCCGTTTTCCATTATAAGGGACACATTTCGGAGGGCTGACATCAAAGATCGGATGAGACAATGAGCCCAGTCCCCGTCAGTCACAAGCTGTGCACAGATCCCTCAACATTCGGAAATCTAGCTATCACAGCTAGCGGTTGTATGTGCTGGTGGGGCAATACTTACTATTTCAATATTTTCACAGATTTTGAAATGTGAGAACTGCATTAAAAAAGGATAAGTAAATTGAGCAATTCATTTAATTAGCTTATTGATTCTTTATAACTATTAATTAATCCAAATTCAGAGATTTTTTATTAAGACAAAACGAGAAACACCTGATGTCGATTCTCGGCTATGACGAAGAAATTAACAAGTCTGGAGTACAAAAGTTTAATAAGTTACTTGATGCTCTTTACTTGAACCTTTAATTATAAAGGAAAAACAATATCGAAGAAGTCCATTAATAAATAGATTACCTGTACTTGTCAATAATTTGGCTCATTTAACTTAATTATAGTCTAATGCGGTATATCATACGAATCAATACCCTTTCTTTAATTATTTTCTTCTAAACTCACTTTCCTTTGGGATTTATAAAAAGGATAACTTGGAAATCAGCTACATCTTGAAAGTTTTTTTCTGTTACTCAACTTATTATTTCTCACACGTTAAAATTCCGATGCTTTCATTTACTTCAGATAACCTGCACGAGAACTTCAATGGGAATATTAATAAAATCTCTTTACTGTCTAAAGAAAGACTTCAACTCGATGATTTGAAATATTCAAATGCCATATGTTTCCAGAGCTTTATCCATTAACTTTTATGTTTATTCATTTTTTTAATAGTACCTTAAAACCTTAAACCTATTTTCTGACACGACATTTTATCATCCGCATTCCTTACTGCCTATATCATGATCAGTGTTATCCCCGTCCCCACCCGCATCTCAACAGTCAAACTATCTATACGAAATGGTTTTATGATAAGAGGTTCATACACACCTTGTCACACTATTTCAACTATAGGAAGAACAATTTCTAAAAATGTCTCCACTGTTCCCTTATAAACAGTCAGCAGTATCACATGAAATGAAATGAAATGAAATGTTTAAAGCAACTTCATGTTTAAGTGAATATTAAAAGAGATAAATGTTCACGATATCTGTTCACGCAACTACGGCGGCGAAAGGCTGATACTTTTGTATCCATTACTCAATACCTGGTTCTTCTTTATGAATGTATGGCCGCCATCACGAAACGTTTCCATATCCTCTACTGTTTCATCCACGCCCGATGCTTTAAATCAATCCCGAGTCTATTCCAAATGATGATAATGGTGTATGCTTGCTAAACCAAGCTTCTGGAAGGCAAAGTATCGTATCATCAACTTTAAGCTTCAAGTCAATGTCTACAGCCTTTTCAGCGCAGCAGGACAAGTAGTTTATTCCTCTGGAACACTTGATGTCGCAAGACGATTCGGCTTGTTTGGTATAATTAGGAGTAACTAAACCCCAATAACTTATAAGTTTATTAAAAGGCAGTATAAGGCACAATTCTTTCCACGGTTTGTATTGTGAAAATAGTGTTTTAGAGTAAAATTACATCATGTTCGTTATTGTTTTAACATAAACTGTATTGATCACTTCATTTGTTTATTTTAACACCTGTTGAGTGTTTCGTGTAGAGATCTATAGAATAATTATTACGATGTTTAAAACTCATGATCTCCATACAGCGGAAAGACACGTGTCCACTTTCAATCCGGATGTCAAACCAGAAAGTAAATATTAGGAGCCAACACTACAGTGGATACAAAAGTCCTCGACCTAATGGAATATTATCGACCTGGGTCAAGTCTCCCTTTACACAGAGGGAAGATTTTATTGATATTTTCATTCTTATGCAAGTTATAAGGAAAAATGAAAAGAATATTTTGAAGCTTCGGAATTAATTCATGATCAAGGTCAATGGATACTTCCCAAAGAACAGCATTTATTTCATCGAAGAATATTGCAAAACGATCGATAAGTCCCAGTCGTTCAACTTTTCCGATTGACTACTATTCTTCACAACAACTTACAGGACACACTGTCAGCCTGGTAACATTCTGTGATTCCAAGCAACGTGAAATCATTGGGGGGGGGTACAACTCACTGTTCACAAACTTGACAGAATTTTAATATTTTAGTGATCACGTTTTATAACTGTAAAATGACAGCAGTCTAGTAATTTCAAATTATTATCCTTGTAAAAATTGTAATGATTGTGTCAAAAGAACAATATGAAGCATTCAAAGAAGCTGTCAGTGTAAAAGTTAAAAAATTCAGAGCAAAGAATAAAAATCTGTTCCTGATTCTAAACAGTACGCAATCAATATTTATCATGTGATTTTTGCATTAATCAATTATGCACGGAAGTCTCATTAACCAGAGCGACTAATTAGTGTCAATTATGAAATTATTCGTCTGGAAAACGTATATATAATCTTTGAAAAAAGCCCAAAAGCTCAAGTGGCAATGATGTAAAGCCTCTTCTGGGCATATTCCTTATGCTCTGGACCCATCGGTAGAGATTTCAAACTGTTTCGTAAACGAATTTCTTTTCAGATTAAATTGTATAATAATTTATATTCTTAACCAAGACGACTATGCTCCAATTCCACTACAACCAAGAAAAACGTGATTCGTGATGCCTTTAGAGGTACTTGAGGACATACGTCCTAGAAACAACTATGATTCTGCTGTCCTTAGATTCGTGATATTTCAATAAGATTCCACAGTACAGTATTAAGCCCTTCGTTTTTCTTCACATGACATTAGATGATAAAGTTAACAAAAAACATTTCGAACAGGCTCTTGAGACAGCCAGATTTACTCTTACCGTTACTAAATTGGTTATAAGTAAAGTGACGTTATATAAAACTTTATTGTTTCTAGTTATATTAATAAATGATAATATCTATTGTCTAAAATATGAAGTGATGTGGAACTATTTATTGTTGTGGTACAGTTTGAAATAGATTTTATATTAGTATATACGACTGAAATAAATAGTCTGATACTGGCTACATTGTAAAAAAAACTTTAGCCTATGTCATTGTTATTTGAGTCAATATCCCTATAATTACATTAAAAAAAACTTTTATCAAATCCGATACCTTATGGTTTAAACCATTACGTAAAAACACATGTATAATATAAAACTGACTTCTTTTAATGGTATAGTCGAACACATCTTTTGTTTCCTATACATGTTTATAACAAATAACCTAATGCGTAGTATAGATAACTTATTGTCGCCTTTTATTTCCTACAGTGTTATCATATTTATCACACTGAAACATAATTATAGCTTTTGTATATTTTAATGCAATCCATCAAGGATAATTCTTTGTGCGCATCCGTGGAGGATCCGAAACATAAACAAGAGCCATTCACTTTATTTTTTAGGAAGAATATATAGTAATTGAAGGTATAGATTTATTTCGTGATCATGAACGTACCTAAAAATACTTAACTGTTCAATTTGAATTTGAATCTTCCACAGGATGTGTGCACTGCACATATCATTGCTTGACTTTATTCTTTTGAATTTTCCTTTTTTTGTAATGTAGATAGCAGAAAACTGCATTTTAACAGCACATTTCAATTCTTTGTTAAATTTTTTTTATTTTTCCATTGAGAACTTTTAATAAACTCATGTCATGTTTAGTATTATGATTAGGAATATAGGAGTATAATAATAGGAATAGTACCATCATAAACAGCTGTTGTCAATTAGAATAACCAATTGAGATAAATACTAGAAAACATGCGTAGTGAATATATATTAAATTGAAATAAAATATACTAGATTCTGTCCGTAAGTACAACGTTCACTATTTTTTTCAAAACCAAATGGACATACTTTGATGATTTTAATCGCTGCACTTGCATAACGCTTGCAGATTTATTTTTTACATGATGTTTCTTTTTTTTTACAATAATTTCGCATAG